TATTTTTTTTTGCATAGATTGCGTTGACTCTGTATATCAAATCAATTTATCTTGCAACCTTCTCAGATTCTTCTTCCAAAAATTGTGCCAATGCTTCTGCAAATATTTTTGTCAAGTCATCTCCCTTCTGTTCAGGAACATTCTGGAACCTCAACAAGTATGCCGCTCTTTCCATTTCCAACTTAATTAGGGAAGCCCAAGTAACTCTTTGTTGAATATCCACCTTATCTAACCTTTGTGTTGTCATTTCTGCTTTTGTATCTACTGTTTTGATTTGATCAGCCATTTCTTGCGTTAGATGCTTATTTTCTGTTAATTGAGTTTGGAAATTGTTCATTTTCCCTTTCAATTCCGAGACTTCGGTACTCAAATGTTTAATTTATTCTGTTACCTGTGTCAGGGCATTTTGAATCTGTCCCAGACCTTACTGGAATGTAGACTGCAAGTTATTTTGTATATCAATCAATGTTTCCTGTGGTATCATACTTCCCCACTGCTTTTGACTGTGTCGGGGATGAGGCAGCAGAAGATGGGGGAGTATGTTTCTTTGTTTGCTTATTGTATCAGAAATATGAAATCAATTTAAGTGACCTAATAACAATTTCTGTTTCTAAATTCCAGATAATATACAACTTAACCAAAGTTAATCATACAGTATCAAATATTTTAAAAGTATTCCAAAATATTTCAGTTAATAACAAAGGCCCTATTTAAAATATTAAATGAAAGACTCAATGCCCTATAAAATTCTTTAGCTGTATAATCAGTCCGCACAGCCTTCCCAACACCAACAGGTAGCAGTAAAGGATTCCAGTGTTGATCAGTAATGCTTATTGTCTCTCAACGAGTCCCTCTGGCTCTTCTCATAATCTAAACATAGTCACATGATAAGCTAAGAGTACAGACCTTACAGGAACTGAATCATGGGAAAAGTTTCTTTTAAGACTGTATTTATAATTCAATCTCACACATTTCCATTTAAGAGCTGTTAAAAGTCTGTTATACGTTGGCCCTTCGACAAAACTAGCTTGTTATTTATAATGCAAACGCCTTTAACAATATAGAGCATCTTCAAAGCTAGGAAAAGTGCTTATTCCCAGTAAGATGAGTCTAGAGCAATATTCAGCAACATCCAAATAACGGATCTTCTTCCCTTTCACACTCCCATCTCGAGTGATTTATTATCCAAAAAACATTCCATCTAGCATGACTCAATCTCTGTACTCAGGATTCGTGTAAAAGCTGCTCTTGGGGTAGGGGTCGTCTGCCACACTCCCCCCAAAAAAGTACTTTCGAGCAATGCAGCAGGGACCACAATTAGAAAAAGGTCGGAAAAGTTTATATTTGGCAATAACTCACAGTTCAAAGCTGGGAGGTTACAGGCAAAATAAAGCTTCCACTCTAAGAACCCACGCTGTTGTCTTCCGGAGCTCATAGCTAAAAGCCATAAGATTAATGACACCCCGCTGGCGTTAACAGGGATCTCTTCAGGCGATCAACTCAGGGCTGCAACCAAGAGGATCGCCCCAGAAAAGGTACCCCCAGCTTCTAGAAAGCTTATACTACAATAAAGTTTGTTAGTCCTAAAGGTGCTACTGGGCTTTTTACTATTTTGCAGCACTAGACTAACAAGGCTAACGCCTCTGGATCTGAAATCTGGATCTGAAACCTGCTGGAAGGGCACTGAGGGGGAACGAGCTGGGGACATTGTGGAGAGGAAAGGAAATGAGGTCTCAGCGCCATTGCGTATGTAAAGTGCCATAGAGTAACAGCCAACTCTGCAGATTTTTCAAGGTGAGAGAAGTTCAGAGGTGGCTTGCTATTGGCTCCCTCTGCGTAGCAACCCCCGTCCTTCCTTGGTGGTCTCCCATCCAAGTATTAGCCAGGGCTGACCCTGCTTAACTTCCGAGCTCTGACAAGACTCAGCTAGCCTGTATGCAAAAGGCATACAGAGGTGGTTAGCCATTGCCTGCCTCTGCACAGCAACCCTGGACATCCTTAGTGGACTCCAGGGCTTTTTTTTTGTAGAAAAAGCCCAGCAAGAACTCATGAGCATAATAAGCCATACCCAACAGCAGAAACTCATTAGCATATCAGGCCACACCCGATAGTACAGCTCATTAGCATATTAGGCCACACCCCCATGTTACCAGAGGTGTGGTCATCCAGCCACACCCACCGTTTGCTTCTTATTCTGTTTACCTTGTTTGTTGTCAAAACCCAGGGCCTTTTTTGGTAGCAGGAACTCCTTTGCATGTTAGGCCACACACCCCTAATGTAGCCAATTCCAAAGAGTTTCTGCTGTTGGGTGTGGCCTGTTATGCTAATGAGCTCCTGCTGGGCGTGGTCAACTCAGGAGCCAGCCAGAACTCCGTCCCTGTGTGTTCCTGCCCAAAAATAGCCCTGGTGGTTTCCCATCCAAGGACTAACCAGGGGCTGACTCTGCTTAGCTTCTGATATTAGGTTAGCCTGGGCCACCCAGGTCAAGTCAGCAAGGAATAACCCAGATGGGTCAGCACCATTACCAAACCCCCCCCCCCAAGCATCTCAGTAGTGTTCTTTGTTGAGTAAGCCAAGTCTTCAGTCCTTAATCCCCTGCGGACCGCCGGAGGAAGACAAATCTTTGGAAAGATCCCCATGTTGAAAAAGCAGAGTTGTGAGTTCTAATCCCGAATCAAGCCAGGGCTCATTTCTTTGCATTACGGAAGCGCAGTGAATCTTTCAACTCGTCCCCCTTTCAGTTCCATCCCTACCGACAGCGAGATTCAAGTTCAGTCACAACTAAGAGACTAACCAGGGTTTTCAAGGTGTGAGCTTTCAAGAAGCAAAGCTGACTTTTGTCCGATACAAGAAGAGGAGGAAATTCGATTTATACCCCGCCCTTCACTATACCCAGCTTGATTGGAGTAGGGGAGAAAGACCTAAGGGCAACACATATTCCAAGGACAGAGGAAGCTGGATAGGAGCCTTCTCTTCAAACCTACTGCACCCCCCCATGCAAGAAGCAGGTACCCAGGAATGTGGGGAAGGGTCAGAGACTACTGGACTCAACTGTCTGAATTGATGGGGACTGTTCATTCCTCTGCTGGACCTGCCTCTTTCTCAATCCCGATACTCTTCATTAGTATCAGAAGAGGAGCCGTGCTGGAGCAGACCGCCTGCTTCCGCATCCCCTTCTTAGCACTGGCCAGCCAGAAAACCCTAAAGTGGCCACAGCCAAGTCAAGAACGCAACGGTCCTCCCCTACGACTGGCATTCATTGGCCAGGCAGTGTTCCCTCTAAGCTGAGTTACTCTGAGCTAGCGCACAGTTTTTTAGACTCCAGTTGACACATTTTTTTTTGGCTTGGCTCAGGAAGGAGGGCTCCAGAGCCAACTCATTTATGCAGCAGCCGAATCGCTCGCTCACAACATTCATACCAGTAGCTCACAAAGTAGAATTTTGCTCACAAGACGCCACAGCTTAGAGGGAGCACTGGTGCTCCAGGGTCTCAGGCAGAGGTCTTCCACATCACCTCCTGCCTGGTCCTTTTTCCTGGAGAT